ACAAAAATATTCGTGAAACAATCAGACAAAAATATTTTGTAATTACATGCATTAATAAATTACAAAACAAGATCAAAATTCTCCGAATCTAAGGGGATAACATGTTAGTCGAAACAACGTAAATACTTACCAGCAAACTATCTATAAAGCAAATAAAACAAAATGTTGTCTGAAAACAAATATACATGTGTATATGACGAGATCATTAAGACTTTCACAAATTGTACAAGATAACAAAAGTTATAAAAGTTGCACAGCAACAAAAAGAGTTATAACAATATGAAAGTTTTTCAAAACATATCATTCTCAAAAAGCCACTTAGACTATGGCACGAGTGAGTAAGAGTAATAAACTCTGTTTACACAAAGGCAATATTAAAGACAAGTTAATTATTAAACATCAGCATTTATTAAAACAATCGATAGCTTCTTCCCATAATTTCTTAGGAAAACGTTCTTTCTCAGGAATATCTTCAAAATTCGCCCCCTAAAATAAGTAAATAACAAAATCAAAAGTAGTACACAGGGAGAAGCATAATGTGATAAAAAGTGAAGGCCGGCCTTGCAGATACCGTAGTAATTTCCTCCCTTTCTTTATCAAAAATTAAGAACGGCACTCCCAAAAGTTCTACAGCTTTTTTTTAATGCTCTGCCGTTAAGAAAATGTTGAAACCCGACAGTTTACAAGCAGTGACTGTCAACATTTCAAAGCTAAGAGAGAAGTTCCAAAAAATTGCTAAAAAGCAAAAAACATTGAAGTAAAAAAAAAGTCATGGAGCTAAAAAAATTAAGTGTGCTACTTTCATTTTTCCGCTTTTTATCTCTTGTAAATATCCACTGTAAATCAGACAATAATGAGTGGATTGGTTAAGCATCCCCTTTCGCTTTATGAACATTTATTAAAGTTTCGAAATTCGGATAAAGAAAGAAGCGGACAGACATTAATTACTTCTCAATAAATTCCCAAAATCTCTATAAAAACTAGCCTCTGTCACTCCTAAACGGTTTTCATCCGCTTCCTTCAATCAAAAAATTAAGTCAATGCTTTTTCTTAGAAGGAATGTACTTTCATAAGACGATCATGACTGATGTACCACAAAATGAGGTTTTCTTCCTCTTATTTTCGCACCAAAAACGAAAATGAAAAACAAGTGGACACACTGTTGCTGTAAATATAAATACTTAAAGAAATGAGTATTGTTTCTCAACCAATACTAGAGAAAAGTTTTACACTGAAAATAAAAGTCAAAGAGATAACCGTAACCTTGAGGAAGTTAACTAGCATAACTGGACTTAAAACGCGTTTAATCTGTTCAACAGCAGCCCTATTTCGGAAACAAATCGCACATAGTGTTGGGAATAATTGCATCATAAGAGAACGATTGGAAAAGTAACTGAGCGGAAGCTCGCATAACCGCATCAATATTGATTTTTGCCAACCAAATATACAAAGCATCTGAAATGCTTAGACAACTGTAACTTACTAAAGTGCTACTGAAAAAAAACTTTCGTTTCAAATCAGTTAGAAAATGCCTTGTTCAATCCCCCAGTCCCCATATCAAAGCCTCACAACAATCATGGGAGAATTCACCTTTCAGTGATAACACAAACAAAAGTATGAATTTCATTTTCTTTTTTTTTGTCGCAAAAAAATTGTAAACTTTATCACTTCCCCTAAATCGCATTGTCATTAACTTCGTGAAACGTCTTTATAAAAAAAAAAAAAGAAAAAAAGTGTTAAACAAAATCTTCATTCTACAGCAGTTCCAATCAATTTTTCTGTCTTAATTACGTTCCATCTTGCAAACAGCCAAAAAAAACTAATTTCATTAGCCCTATTTTCCACGCATAGTGCGCTCCTGAACGAAAACCTGATGAACCAAAATGACGTCCCAAACGTATATTACTTTAAAAAATTTTCACTGAATTTTTTACAATCCGCATTCAAAAACTCCTTTCTAACAATGAGGAAGTATAATGAAAAATTGTTGGTGTAGTCATCAAGGACTAATTATTCAAATATGAATGGAACTACGCAAAAATTCCCGCACCAACATTATATCCTCGAATTCAAAGAAGCAATCAGTATTTTCAAGAAGCATATGAAATAATTATAGAAATGAATTTTGAAGATATAGTTCAATGAGAAACCTGAGATTTCTCGTCTAAAGCTGCAAAATAACCGACAGCAAAAATAATATCTCTTAAAAAACACTCAGTAGTTGACTCGGTATCCTTCTTTTTTCCCAAATATAGGCAAGCAGACTGTTCGGTGTAAGTCGCTGTTAAAAATGACAATATTTGTAAAATACGCAGTGAAAGCTCAGGATCTTGGATAAAAGCCTAAAATGAGACTATTCTCTATATAATTTTTATAAACAAAGCAGGCACAGCGCAGAAGAGGAAGCTGTGGTACTAGGGACAAAGTTAAACAAAAAAGCAAGAAAAAAATGAAAAACCTTGGCCTTAGCTGCTTCACGCCGGACGAATATAATCCAGATATTCAAAAAATATCTACAGATAGTGCGTCCAGAAAAAGCACTATTTAAAACACTCATTGTGTTGCAAGAAGCTGAAAAATTCGTTGAAGATGTGCAAAAGACTGCTTCTAAAAATGGAGCACCTACTGCAAGCGAAGAATACAGCTGGAAAACCAATGTGCGGAAAAGCAACGGTAGGAAAATCCTGAAATTTTAAACACAGAAAATGCTTCATGAAAATATAATTGTATAAAGATAAAATGCATTGTTAACTATTCAAACAATCACTGATATGCGACAAAAAAAAAAAAAGAAAAAGGCGATAAAAAGTACACTTACGAAAATACTGCCGATGACGAGCCTTTGTCAAAAGAAAAACTCTCTCCAGTTACCGTCTCGTTTGAACCCGCACTAAACTGATCATTATCGACAAAAAATAACAAAAGCGGAAATAGCTGCGAATAAAAAAAGATATACTAACCTGTCAAAACCCTCGGAAGACGATACCACTTCATCTAACACACATAAGAATTCTAATGATAAGGTACTTATCATTAACTGACAGGAATCCTCACACCCTTCTCCTTCCAATTTCAAATTTGCCAACTTTAAGCCGCTCAAAGCATTGGCACAAAATTCTCCAAAACCAGTTACCAAAAGATAACTAAAATGATGACCAAATAGAAAAAACTATATAAAAAACTTAAAAAAGTAATCTAGTAAAGCCTTTAAAATGCAAAACAACTAGTGTAAAAAGGCTAAAGAATAAAAAACAACACAAAATGCTAAAAAAG